TTTGTTCGCAGGGTTGTTCTATATAAGCTGATCCCAGTGTATAAGCCCACCATATCCAATAAAGCTCAGGCCATTACGCTAGGGGTACGTTAGGCTTATAGGGGTACATATACGCTAGGGGTACGTTAGGCTTATAGGTTCCCCGTTGTACACGTTTCAAGCACGGTCGCATACGGTGGTATATACAGTATGCTGGCATAGACCCGACGAGACAGAAACATTTTTTGAAGCATGGATAGTTAAACATTTTGTGCGTATTCAAACGTACGGTAGAGGTAACTACGCCAGATGTACGGTACTCATACGCTGGCATTTTAAGGGATTTTTGTAATTTTGTGCGTATGAAAATTATTTCATTAATTTCCATACGTTTCTCTGATACGCAATAGCCAGTGTGCATGACAGGGCCATATAAACTTGCACACGTGCACATGCAGGGTTGGATTAACGTTTCGTGAGGCCACGTGACATTTTAAACGCTGTCACTGAATAACTGAATTCAAGAATATATTTTTGTATTCCATGCGTCCTGTGTATTTAAAAAAAAAACCCAACAAATATAGCTATACATAATAATTTGAACTAATAATCAACCCAGTTTAACTCATACAGCACGTTGTACAATCAGCGATAATGGTTGATAACTGCATATTACATTATATAATATATTGCAATACTTGGATTTTAAAGCAAAAGTTGTAAACGTTAATAACCTCAAGCTGAAAGCCCTCTGGCAGGAATCCAACCAGCACCCTTGTTTTGTATATATACATGCACGTGCGGTTAGAGCTTGACACTTGCATGGACTTTGTAGCTTAGTTAGTTAGAGCACTGGACCGGAATCGCAGAGACGCATGCAGGTTTGATTCCTGCTAGGTGGCCTATATATAGATGCATTTTAATTTTAATAGAGAGATTTATGCCCGTATTCAAAAAGCTCACTCACACTCAATGAGTGGAGGTTCAATCTGAGCTTCTCTTGAGTGTCAATGCTGTTTTTGAATAGGGAGGGTAAAAAAATAACATTGACACTCAAGGCAAGCTCAGATTGAACCTCCACTCACTGAGTGTGAGTGAGCTTTTAGAATACGGGCGTTAAATGGTGCACTGCCAGGACAATTTGCCTGTTTTGTTCATAGAGATGTGGATTCATTTGAGCCTGAAAGGCAAGTATTGCAGTAACAATATCCACAGCAATAAAGACAATAAAGAGTACTTGTAATTGTATTGAGTATTAATATCATTACGATTATATAGTGATTTGATGCAGGTTGATGGTAAAGTGTACAAAGTCATTTTTCTGAAGAAACGACCATCACTGAGTGCAGTATAAAAATTAAGCAATATTCCAGTGACATGTATCACATGCAAGAGATATCTGTTGAAGAGGGCTTGGACTGATTTATTGGCCTTTCTCACCTTCAAGAGATTTGCAACCTGTCATGGAGAAAGTTTTTGGGTATTTTACATGTATATAAAAAATAATAATTGTAATAGATGCTTTCTATGCAGAGTAACTAATAAAAGATGATGTTTTGGGGCTTATTTCTGCTTAATGGAGCTCTAATAATATCATATTCAACAATTTAATAAATTAAAAATTCAATAACAATTTTAATAATAATAATAAATTTCATAATAATTTTATTACAATAAATGTAAAGGATCGGACTTTGAGAGCGGCTGAGATTACTGAACCGTCCCGATAAACTCGACAAAACAAACTAACAACAACGCATAGACCTTTCGTGGTCTATGTTACAAACGTATAGACTCTTCGTGGTCTATAGTCTTCTTGTATGTTAAACGTATATTTATCCAGGACAGTACTTAAAAACTCTGTCCCCGCAGATCCCTTTTTATAAACTCTTAGTTAATAACTCTCGTTTATATCACCGTTCGATTTCGATGCGCTCTGACTATAAGCGCTCTAACTATAACTAAACAATTCCAAATTCTACCTACTAATCTTTTTGGGTTAATTATTTATTCATTAGAAGTCAATTCTTAACAATAAATATATTTATTATTATGTATTAAATTAACAACGTTAACCTCCAAATTTTACTCATTCCTGTTCACATGTGCTGGACTGTTCGTGTTGAAATTGTTGCTTCAGTTTTTACATACTAATAAGAATTAGATGCTGTACCTTGTGAATGTTCTAACACAAACTAGTTCGAACAAGTAACATTTGAATATAAACAAGAATACCGGTGTTCCCGGAAGTCTAACAACAAGCCATTGTTGGGTGGTGATCAGGTGAATCTTGTTTGAAAATACAGGGTGTATCCAAAAAAGCGCAACCTCGGAATTTCCAAAGAAATCGACGTTGTTTTAAAGACAAAAGATTTTAGGCGCCTGGGAATTTAAAATAGCATAACTGTCAAAATTACTGCACACGCGAGTGCATAAAGCAAAATTTATGCATTTATTTAATGCACAACAACAGTAATATGATCTATTAGCAATTCGATTTCAATTCCCAGGGGCCTAAAATCTTTTATGCTTAAGAATTGCAACGTGATTTCTTAGGAAATTCCGAGGTTGCGTTTTTATTGATACACCCTGTACAATATACTATTGTTATTTATATTATAATTCAACATACAGGGTGTATAAAAAAAAACGCAACCTCGGAATTTCCTAAGAAATCATTTTGCAATTCTTATAAAAGATTTTAGGCCCCTGGGAATTGAAATCAAATTGCTAATAGATCATATTACTGTTGTTGTGCATTAAATAAATGCATAAATTTTGCTTTATGCACTCGCGTGTGCAGTAATTTTGACAGTTGTGCTATTTTAAATTCCCAGGCGCCTAAAATCTTTTGTCTTTAAAACAATGTCGATTTCTTGGGAAATTCCGAGGTTGCGTTTATTTTGATACACCCTGTATATACGTGACACTATGCAGACTGCAGTTCGGCCAGTTCCTGGCTGACGAAATAAATGAACAGCAAAATTATGTACATCCATGTTGTCCAATATGTCTTTTGCCTGAACTTTGTCATTCACAAATACGGTACCACTTTCACCAAATTCTTCAAATACAGTATGACCTTGTTTAATTATATATTTTCTTGACAACTGTCCCTGTATATGCCTGTATGGCACCATTTAAATTTTCTGCCACAGGTAAAACATTTCTTAAGAGGCAGTCTCTGTAAGAACCTCATGACCTCTTTGGATCAACAAATAGATTTCTCTCAAACTTTGTAGTTGAGATTGCCTTTATAAGGGTTGTTTCAAAATGCATTTTGTTTTCAGTCTAATTGCATTTTGGCAAAGTTCTAGGGGGGTCAAGTTGAGGGAAAAAATTACGATTTTTGCTGTTTCTCAATAGTGGATTTTTGCTGATTTTTAAACCTCTGTACATGAAACAAAAATAATCATAAAACTAAATCTTTCCAGACAATAGTAGCTTTATATGTCTTAATATATATCATTCATGATAGACTAAAATAGAAATTTCCAAGTTCCTTAAAAATGGGTGAAATAAAACCCCTAAAATTCAAAAGTTAGACTTGCTATGAATGTAATATTATTTGTATGGTGAGATTAAAGGTTGGTCTTACATAATATAAAATAAAATATTGCGGCCTGTAAATTTTGGAGGTACTACAGGCCAACAAAACATCAACATTTTCGACTTTCGGCAGTTTGGAGCAAATAAGAACGTTCATGTTTACTGTAAACTCTGCTTTGAAAGAGCAAACTTTTACATATTATTGGACCTAGAACAGTGATGAACATTCGTTTGACCTTTACTGTTGTCTAAAGTCTTTTAGGGAAAAGCACTGACACAGGCATTTCCGTTATGTATGGACGTAATGGACTGTATTGTATAAATAATAAATATTTTCTAGCTGAATATAATCAAGACAAGTTATACATTTGCATCATGTAAAGACGTCCGTTAGTCAACAAATTATCAAACATCGATTTATTTTGAAGATTTATTTAAAAAGTCAAGAGAAAACCTACCCCAATATATTTATATTGATACAAAGTATGCCTCGATCGACAGCCTTGTCATTTAATGACCCGAATTGTCAGTTGACTTATTATTTGACGTTCGTTAGCTTCCATTATTCTTTAGTGTTAATCACTTTCGATATCTTAATGATTATTGTAGACACAGTCTTGTATATAAATCTTGATTCTTCGTCCGAACAGGCAATGTTAGTCAATTCCTCCATCAGTCCATCGTTATAACTCGATTTTGTTGTTGTTATGGCGGAGGCCGCTGACCAAATAATTCGACTGTCAAACGTACAGGGCGGGTTTGTGCACGATAGAGATATTTACAGCCTTGGAAAATTTTGCTTCCATCAAATAAATATCATGATAAACCTGTATCCTCCCGCACAATAGTAACTTGGTATGTCCTAAGTATCAAGGAATCTATAATTTTTTTAAATATATTTTCTAAATATAGAAATGTTTCTATATTTAGAAAAATTACATTTAGTCTGTTTCATTCGTGACAGACTAAAATAGAGATTTTCATTAAAATAGAGATTACATTTTTAAGGATTGGAACAATTTACCCAATTCTATTTGAGAAAACGATTTCCTTATAACTTTTAAACATATCAAGAACTTTGGATTATAGTAGTGACTTATTTTACTTTTTACATCGTAATTTCCTAGTGCATATACTTCAGAAAGATATATTATAACGTATTACTATTAGCTATATTGTAATTTATTTGCAGAACCTCCCTGAAAACCACGTATGTGATGGAAGCTGTTAAAATATTACCTTAATAATAATAATAATAATAAAGTTTTGCATATATATATATGTACTTCTAATTCGCTGCAGATTTCTTTCAGCATTTTGACATTGAATTTTTTCAGTTCGTTACGTTGGCGTAATTCACAAGTTACTTATACAGGGTGTATCAAAAAAAACTGAACAGATTTAAAATTGCTCTCAATTTCGCAAAACAGCTATTTGTATCTGTTTTTTTATATATATTGCTTCTTTGGGTACTTATAATGTAAAATAATGGAAAAAAATTTCTCGAACTCAAATTTTGTGAACCAGGGGGGTGTGTCTTTTCCAACAAACTAAAAATGGCTCGCGCACAAAATTTAAAAGCTGCAATCATATTTTAAGTTAACAGATGGAAAATGTGTCGGGTTTTTAATTACTGTACAAAATTTCAGACAATTTGGTTTAGTTTAAGCCCCTTAACTATTCACGCAAAGTTACAATTTTCCCGAAAAATCAGCTATTTGCATGCTTAATTAATGCATTTGCCTAATTTGCATATGTCACCAATATGCAAATTAGGTAAAGGCATTAATTAAGCATGCGAAAGGCTGACTTTTTAGAACAAAATGAATAGTTAAAGGGCTTAAACTAAACCAAATTGTCTGAAATTTTGTACAGTAATTAAAAACCCGACAAATTTTCAATCTATCAACTCAAAATATTATTACAGCTTTTAAATTTTGTGTGCGAGCCATTTTTAGTTTGTTGGAAAAGACACACCCCCCTGGTTCACAAAATTTGAGTTCGAGAAATTTTTTTCATTATTTTACATTATAAGTACCCAAAGAAGCTATATATATAAAAAAAACAGATACAAATAGGTGTTTTGCGAAATTGAGAGCAATTTCAAATCTGTTCAGTTTTTTTTTATACACCCTGTATATTAACGCAACACGCAAGCAAGTTTATATGAAAGCAAGTTAATATCAAAACCGTGAAATTATACAAAATTTAGATATATTTTTTTATTTCAGCTGCATGTGTTTTCACAAAAATTAAAAAGTCAAAAATCACCTGTGGAAATAGTCTCGCGGTAAATTTTCGGTGTGAAAGCAAACAATTCTCGACATGTTGCACGTGCTTTGACAGCCGAATTATTTAGCTGGTCAGCGGCTTCCGCCATAACAATAACAAAACGAGTGAATTAAACGATGGAGGAATTGACTAGCGTTGCCTGTTGACGAAGAATCACGATTTATATACGAGACTGTGTCTACAATAATCATTAAGATATCGAAAGTGATTAACACTAAAGAATAATGGAAGCTAACGAACGTCAAATAATAAGTCAACTGACAATCGGGGTCATTGAATGACAAGGCTATGATCGAGGCATACTTTGTATCAATTATATTGGGGTAGGTTTTCTCTTGACTTTCTAAATAAATCTTCAACATAAATCGATGTTTGATAATTTGTTGACTAACGGACGTCTTTACATGATGCAAATGTATAACTTGTCTTGATTATATTCAGCTAGAAAATATTTATTATTTATACAATACAGTCCATTACGTCCATACATAACGGAAATGCCTGTGTCAGTGCTTTTCCCTAAAAGACTTTAGACAACAGTAAAGGTCAAACGAATGTTCATCACTGTTCTAGGTCCAATAATATGTAAAATTTTGCTCTTTCAAAGCAGAGTTTACAGTAAACATGAACGTTCTTATTTGCTCCAAACTGCCGAAAGTCGAAAATGTTGATGTTTTGTTGGCCTGTAGTACCTCCAAAATTTACAGGCCGCAATATTTTATTTTATATTATGTAAGACCAACCTTTAATCTCACCATACAAATAATATTACATTCATAGCAAGTCTAACTTTTGAATTTTAGGGTTTTTATTTCACCCATTTTTAAGGAACTTGAAAATTTCTGTTTTAGTCTATCATGAATGATGTCATTTCTATATTTAGAAAACAAATTTGAAAAATTTATAGATACCTTGTTACTTAAGACATATAAAGCTACTATTGTCTGGAAAGATTTAGTTTTATGATTATTTTTGTTTGATGTACAGAGGTTTAAAAATCAGCAAAAATCCACTATTGAGAAACAGCAAAAATCGTAATTTTTTCCCTCAACTTGACCCCCCTGGAACTTTGCCAAAATGCAATTAGACTGAAAACAAAATGCATTTTGAAACAACCCTTATAAAGGCAATCTCAACTACAAAGTTTGAGAGAAATCTATTTGTTGATCCAAAGAGGTCATGAGGTTCTTACAGAGACTGCCTCTTAAACATCAAACAAAAATTATAAAATAAAAATTGTTGGCAAGTATACATAACATATCTATATTTTGATCTATAAATTCTTAACAACACAGTGCTCAAAGCTCGCAAATATTCAAACGTTCTAGTTAACACAGGCGAATATTTATCAATAGTGCATTGATAAATATCATTAATATATTTACCATGTATTTAGTTAATATTCTACATTACAGCAGAGTTATCCCAGGATATCGATAAATAAATTCTCACCTTCTATAAAATATTTCTCACCGATTTCTTGTTCTTAATTTGTTTTTTAGCATCAATTTCCCCTTACTACATTGTCTTTTCAGTATTCAGTATATTAAATGATGTACCACTGCTTCTATTCAATATATATTAAAACCACAAAATTTTAATCCAACTTGTCGCAATATAAAAGTCAATTTGATACAAATCTATAAACATTTTACTCACTCATGAGAACGGCGCCATTTTCGCAAGCCACTGACACAGAGTAGATAAGACATACAGAGACGTAACTGACCGTTGTAAACACTGCGGAAGATTACGTTATCATGTACCCACTTTTTTTTGAGGCGACCGGGCGAAAAATGATCAACTGCGCGTGCTCAGCAAGTTTAAAGTGAGTCGTCATCAGGTAGTCATCCAATCAGATGCATGCATCTAGTAACTTGCCGAGCATGCGCACAAAATAAGTGGGTACACTAGTTACGTCTCTGTATGTCTCTACTCTGTGCTCAATACAGCAAGTGGGGACACTTTGTCCCCACTTTTGGCAGGAGCCGTCACCTCATTAATATGCAGAAACACGAAATAGGCGTACTCAGGACTAGGGACTAGGCTGGCTAAAGTAGGTCTGCATAGGAGACTGGGTCGTGAGATGAGGGTCGAAAATATGCTTAGAAAACAGATTCCGTAGCACCCCTCGTGTAACTACATAATTTTTACATGACTATATAGATTAGAACTTACTTAGTTAGAATCCACTTCCCCCCAAGCGAAATAGTTGCACAAATTGAAGTACAACTTCTCCAAAGTTCATGCTTCGTCGTATTTCGAAATCCATGAACCGCCATTGTTGTGTTGCAAATACGCATGCGCTTGACCACAAAACACTCAATGCGCACGCGCAGATAACAAAGACTGATCTCAATTCAGGACTGGACAAACCTGGACAAGAAAAAAATTATAAAATGTGCGAAAGAAGGGCTGAACTGAAACAAGATGACATCGGAGTGTTTTAAAAATATATGATATTTTATGTTTTGTGCATTTTAATGGGTTTTCCCAAACATTCTGAGTAATGTACCGTGCCGAGCCCTGGCCAGGAATACTTCCAAGCCAACATGCATTACTAATAACTTGTTTAAAGTATGATGACTACAGCAATTGTACAACGTTTGCAAGCGAATCTGTTTTTCAGGCTTTAAATATTATCACAATCCTAAACATTCTAGACCTCGCATACCGTAATTTCTCTATCAGTTTTTTAGGGGTCATTCTCAGTTTATCAAAAAAACAACAAAGAAGAAGGAAACAACTTAGTAAGTAATTATAGGAGGTATTGTTATGCAACAGCATTGCGTGACGTTTGCAATCTAATTATATTAGAGAGCTTAAGGTTCGTATTCAACGACAAACGTCAGGCAAAGAAAAAATTTACGTTATAAAGCAATAAAAAGCAAATGGGCTTGTTGTTTTATAACTAGAATGCTTAACTATTCCTGTGTCATATGAAAAAAAAATATGACACGCAGAAATTGAACGCAGAAATCGATATGCCAAGAAAAGTCGGTCTTGCCGTTCCCACAAACGTGAAGCTTAAAGCTTAAACTCCCTAATAACTTGCGCATACGACGCGCACATACCAAGAGAAAGGGAGTTTCCGTTTTATCTAATTAGCATTAACAGCTTTTACAGATACAGATATACAGATACCGTATTTACTCGATTGAGCGCCGCCCCCGATTAAGCGCCGCCCCCGAATGAGCGCCGCATTTGAGATCATTTTTGTTTTAAAGAGCGCCGCCTCCGAATGAGCGCCGCACTAAACAGTGTAATAATTTTCCGCCGTCGAAATGGGGATATTTTGTATCATATGTGACAAAGACATTTAAAACTTGTTTATTTTATTGTTAAAAGTTCTTGATATAATTCACAAATAAAAGATTTTTTTAAAGAGCGCCGCCCCCGATTGAACGCCGCCCTCGAATTAGCGCCGCATCTGAAGCTCTGAAAATTTAAAGAGCGCCGCGGCGGTCAAACGAGTAAATACGGTACATATATTGCATAGCACACTCCCTATCAGAGTTTTTCAGTGACTGGTTACATACTGTTATTTCCGCAACACACTGTCCATTCTCACTCATGTAACTTTAAATATCCTACAGCATTAAGACGCAAATTGGAACAAAATGAAATGGAAACATTAAGACGCAAATCGGAACATCACTTCTCTCCAAAATGTCCAGAAGCGTAGTCAGGATTTTTGGTCGGGGGCAGCAAAAACCTAGGTGGGGCCATGATTCACTTCTTTTTATAGAATAAATTTTTTCAGAGGGGGGGAAATTTTACCAGGGGGCGGGCCCCCGACCCCCAACCTGGCTATGCCTGTGAAAATGTTTTCAGCGAAATCGTCATCGTGGCGTCATCCGCTCTGACTCTAAAAGTTGGCCATCATTGTCATCTGTTTTCCATTGCCTTCGATCTTCAAACAATGTAAATATGTAATCTAACAACATGAAGTCTGCTTGTTTATTTCAGGTAGTAATATAATTATAGCCACTCAGTGATGGGAAACAGATGATGATGAAGGTGATGATGATGGTGATGATGATGATCATGGTGGGCAACGTTTGGAGTCAGAGTACTGATGACGGTTTCACTGAAGACATTTTGGAGAGCAATGATGTTTTGATAAAGAGCAAATTACTCAGTCTGAGTACTAGTCAGGTAATGAAGTAATCTGTTGGTCTTGTTCCGATTTTCGTCTTAATGCTGTTGCATAACATATTTAAATTTAATTGAGTGAGAATGGTAAGTGTATTGCGGAAAGGCTGTTAATTGAATAGGACGGAAACTCTCTTTCTCCTGATATGAACGCGTCATATGCGCAAGTTATTATTAGATTGCAAAAGACACGCAATGCTTTTGCATAACAATACCTCCTATAACCTACTAAGATGTTTCCTTCTTTTTTTTTGATAAACGGAGAATGATGATTAGTGGCCATAAGGTGTTCGTGATAAAGGCGTGCATGATTAACAACGAAACACGAGTGCACGTGTTTGAGGAAGAAATTGGCTGATACAAAAAGAGTCGTAATGAAGTTCCAGTCAGCGTGACTCGGAATTGCTAGGTTGGCCCTTGAGGCAAAGAGTTCATTAACCTCCGTTCTTTCTTAATAATGGATTAGACGCAAAGAAAATAACAAACAACCAACCTGGACTAATAAAATTGACGGGAAATGATTTAGAAAATAAATAAGATTGTGAACACCAAAAAAATTCAGTTTATGGTATATAGTAATTTCTCTGTTTAGCATCACCCCCTCCCCACCCCCGGCCCTCTCCTGTAAGCAAATAATGTATAAAATCGTGAAAGTATTGTATTTGAAAGATAATTGTGATGTTTTACTAAAAATCACAGTACCCGATGTTGCATATTTAAAGAGAATAAAAGTGCAAACAGATTCTTTGTATATATTAGAAATACCCCCCCCCCCCCCCC